CCCCTCACCCCCCAAAGGGCACCTGATCTGACCCCATTCTCTAGGAATGGAAACTGAGGCACAGGGAGGGCGATCTCTAGCCGGGCGCCCGCCACGAAACCGGCGACGGCTGCCCCCAAACGCCCAGCTGTAAAGTATTTGAGCTGGAAAGTCTCAAACCAAGTGCCTGTATTTTATTTTGAGCTGCATTTAAAAACATTAAATGGCGACAGTTAAACATTGAGAGAGTCCGTGTAAAAACCCACGCGGCCGCCCTGCCCGGTTTGGCTCGGTGGATGGAGCGTCGTCCTGCGGACTGAAGGGTCCCGGGTTCCATTCCGGTCCAGGGCACGTGCCCGGGTTGCTGGCTTGATCCCCAGTGGGGGATGTGCAGGAGGCAGCCAATCAATGATTCTCTCTCATCATTGATGTTTCTCTCTCTCTCCCTCTTCCTTCCTCTCTGAAATCAATAAAAATATATTTTAAAAAAATCCACACGGCCAATTTCTTGAAAACTGGCGAATTGGGGCGGGCAGCCCCCATGCCCCATTCCTGCCTGGCCCCGCCCCCAGATGGTCCCTGTATGGCCCCCAAAGCTACACACTCGAGTCATTATCCCTGTACACTCTCACAACTGTGGACCCAGGAGCCACTGTTTTGTAGAACAGGGATTTATTGATCCCCTAGGGGAGCAGGCTCTGGGCTGGACACCAGGTTCGGTGTGTCCGGTGGAGCCAACATCCTACTGGGGGGCCCTGGATTCAAATATTCCCCGCCCCCCCAACCAGAGAACACTTAGGCCAGCGCCTTGCCTTCCCTGAGTCTCAGTTTCCTCCACTGTGAAATGGGACTAAAGCAAAAAACCAAAACTAGTCAAAGACCAGGCATGGGATGCCAGGAGGTATACAGTTGGCCTGGGGTTTACAGTGGAAATGGATGTACTGTACTGTAGGGTAGGGGTGTACGACCAATGTGGGGATGGGGATACGGCATGGGGGGCAGTCAGAATGGCATTTACAGCCACTGTGGACTCACACAGCTGACATGGAGGTAGACAGTTGCTACAGGGTGTTTAATCAGTGTGGGGTATACAGTAAGGGTGGAGTATACAGCTAGTGGGAGGTATACAATCGGCGGAGGGTGCAGGCAGCCGGCTATCCTCCCCACACCAACCTTCCACCCCCATGTAAACTGTATACCCCCTCAGTTTCACTGCATCTCCCACCAGTCATGGGGCCAGTTGTATACTTTACATACAGTATAGTTACCTATATACAGCTGGCATGGGGGTATCGTCGGCAGGAATGTATATTCAGTGTGGGGCATACAGTTAACATGGGATTATCCAGTGTGGTCACATACAGTTGGCGCTCAATAATTACAGCAGCTGCTTCAGAGTCCCACCCCAAGCCTGCCCCACTCTGATCGCTAACCCAGCATTCCTAGAGAAAGGCCACCTCCTCCCAGGGGCCCACAGCTGTGAGGCCCTACCTGACCCCTGGCCCGCAGACCTCAGCAAACAGGCGAGGCTCAAGGCTTCCAGCCATGCCCTCGGATGACCACGTCTCCTAAGGAGATCCTGTGGCTCCGGAGGTCCCTGCCAGCTAGTCCCACCCCCGGCCGTCTGAGTGGTGCCCAGGCCGCAGCTTCTTGTCTTCCCAGATACACCAGGCCTCTCGGTGTCGCTCCTGTAAACTCAGGACCTCAACCAACTCCATCCTGACGATCCCCAAAGGTCCATCCCTGGGAAGGCCTGGCTCCCAAGCCGCACGCCCCTGAGACACCTATCTTCCGGTGCCCCACATGGGGTTCTCATGGGCACCTCACACTCAGCACCGCCACATCCGATCCCCTCCCGATCGGACCGGACCCAGAAATGTCAGCTCTGTCTTCCAGAGCACTCAGTCCAGAAACCTGGGATGTCTCTCTGCTTAACATCAACATGAGCTCTGCCTTCAGAATCTACCCAGTATCCACACACTTCTCACCCACTCCTTGGCCCGAACCCTGCCACACGGCGGTCATCTTCTGCCTGGACCAGTGTAGGTGTCTCCACCCGTCTCCTAGCTCCCACTCTTACCACCCCCCCGCCCCC